CCTCGCTATCGCCAACCTAGTTATGCAATCACATGTATCCCCGCACCGGATCGTCCGTACGTGTCACATCAGTGTATCTGTAAACCGGGATACAGTGGTGCAAGATGCGAAGTTTGCGCTCCCGGCTACTACGGGGATCCGACCAGTTTGATTGCTTGTCAACCATGTGACTGTGATATGGCCGGCTCGTTGAGTCCCAATTGTGCGCAAGATACCGGACAGTGCCGTTGCGCTCCCGGAGTGCACGGACGTCGATGTGATCAATGCGAACCGGATCACGTGGTAGATGCCGGGCGATGTATTGGTAAGCTTCATTCGGTTCGCTTAGCGACCAGCAGAGTAGGATGGTACTGTGTGTGTTATTTCCTTTTCTGTGGAATTAGAATAAACTCCCTCCCCATGTTAAATCTGACGACAAGTGACGCGCAGTCCCGGTTCCAATGCAATGAAAACCAAGATTTTCAATTGTGATACGATACTTGATTCGTGAGGTATCTGATTGTTGGTGGTGGCACTTTCGCTTTCACTGGTGTGCTTTGGACCCTAAGGTCCGAGGTTCAAACCCCACCACCGCCACCCGACTTTGGTGATAGGCAGCTCTACTGCCGTCCGGTTCAATACCACACCTAACCTATTGGGGCCTTATGTGGTTCACCACTCCAAGTCCCGGGGCTTAGGTTATTGGTTTCCATCACTGAACAACAGGTCCTCGTGACTATGGGGGTCGTCTCGTTTGCTGTTCAGGTGTGTAATAAAAAAAGGACAGTCGTCAAGGCACGTCCAGATAAAAGTGCGTCAAATAAGAACATGACAGCGCTCGGCTGTATCGAAATACACCTTACAATCAAGGTGCTTCATAAGGGGGCAGGTGACCGCTTTGTCAAACAGAGAATGTTCAAAGTATACGGAGTCAAACAAAATAAGCCTAGTCAAGCAGTGACATGAAGCTCCCTGAGGATGAGCCAATCATAAGAGAGTTGGACGCCCACCATTCGACCTCTCAACAAACAACGAAAGGCGTGCGTGCGTGCGTGCATGCATGTGTGTTTCTGTGGCATTAACAGGTGACTCCTAGGAAGCAATCAGAGAAGGTCACATGTGCGTAGGTGGTTGAATAATCTATAAATGATAAGCGATGAACCGGTAAACAATAAAGGCAGACGGAATATATTTAGTAAGGGACACTTGAGGTCACAAGAGAACTCGTGTGATGTGGAAGTCATGCGAGTAAACGGTTTCGCGTGTGTCTGCATATCTATTGATGTGTTAGAGACTGGGAAAACTAAGTACTCGCTTGGTTAGGTAAGAAATCTATAGCCGGAACGAAATGAATGTCAACAGGACAATCAAAAGGAGCGATGGAGTGGGCAATGAGAGGAAGGAACACTCAATGTGTCTGTGTCAGCTTATTATGAATTTCACCACCAGTCACGATGAGCTTTTCGGGAACAGAGATGACTGACATAAGTTCCGTAATATGATATGCTTGGCTCATGTATCTTTCGGGGACGGATGTACCGGACAACTGAATGTGAACCGAGTCTCGTTATGGACTGGAACCGTCGACCCAGAGCAGGTTCCCTCGGTGGAGAGGGGAAAATGATAACCTGCAAAACGGGAAAATGTATAGACACTGTGACCCAAAAGGTCTAGTGAGACATGACTACGGCTCACACTCAAACAGAATGGTCCGTTGTCAAGGTTGTTGCAATAATAGCCTGAGAAATTTCGAGCAAATTGGCTTTGTATTCATCTATTCTCTTGTATGTAAAGATTACACTGTATGGATTAGTTCATCCGGTTTAGGAATACCCGCGCACGACAAAATAGCACATTAAAAGCAACATGTGATTTATTCAATGATGCAAGCCTTAGGGAGCTTTGCATAAAAAAACTTAAGCTCAAACTTGAAATAATTTTTCCCAAATGAAGCTGTATGGTATTACTTTTTATTCGCACCGTGATAGTCATCGAGTAGGAGGCCCTCAAGATAAAGAAGCTTGTGGATTTTCCACCAACGTTGGGCCCTCACGTGGTTGTTTTGATTAAAACACTTTTCGAACTTCCCGCATTAGATCAGTATTACATACTTACTTTTTACTGTGGCTGGCTCTTTGAAAAGGATAAGCCGGCTCCAGGGACGATCATGATCATGAAGCTCCTTGGGAGTTTGGTACGAGAGACGTCCCCAGCGTCACTCGGAGTTTTTTTTTATTTTGAGGATGCACCTCCAGTCTTTGCACAACCAAGTGTGTAGTGCAAGGCAGCAGGAGGTAATCCCTTGTCTCGGAAATGAGGGGCTCAATGACTTTAGTTTTAAAAGGCCAGTCAAATCGACCTTTTTTACGAGCAATATTCCATCGTTCAGTCAGATCGTGTCTTTCAAATTGCACTATATCTCCCTCCCACTTTCCAGATTGTCGGGGACCATGTACCGGCGAACTCTTCACCAAAGCAGACGAGGTGATGATGCAAATAGATAATCTGAATGTGACCAGTCTGGCCTATCGTGGTCTGGCCCGACTGGGGCAACAAGTTGAAACCGTGCGAAAAAGATTTAGCCCGGCACGGGAACAGGCCGAACGGGAGCTGATCGCCCGGACACAACAAGTGGCCAAACAGACAGTTCAGCTAAGGGAACAGGTTGATCGAGCCCAGGTCACGGCAGACGCTATCCAGACCACCCGATGTGTCACATTGGGTAATGGAACCGAGCTGCGTGAAGATGTCGCCTCATTCCGACGTCGTGTATCTGACTGGATTCAAGAAGTGCGCGAAGCTCCCACCGGGCGTCCAGATCAGGCCACACTACAACGTTGGCGTGAAGAAGCACGGCGTGTTCTCACCGAGTTAGGAACGATCAATTTGAATAGCACTGAAGAATGGGTTAATCAACTATTGTCTAGCGCCGAACGAGCCATGGAAGCGGCGAACGCCCTACTGAAATCGGTCAAACCGGGTAAATCTGCGGTGGATTTGGAACGCCTGGTTACCTATCAAGAAGAACAGGCTCGACTGCTCGATTTTCAACAGTCGCAAATCTATCGAATCGGGAACGCGACTCAGAGTACCATACGTGAATTGAATGCAGCCAAAGTGAGCAACTATTTCTACCCTTCCCGAGAGCGGATTGGTATACACTTCTTTGTAAAACATTTAGAATTAGAATTAGAAATCACAGACGCAATGCAAGCATTGGATCACACTGGTACTTGCACACAGTATTTCACGTAACCAAGAAGCGGGAAAAAGGCCACAGGAATAGCAGTTGATTCATTGAAAGAAATCAGGGGGATTAAATAATATGTACCAAACAAATTTATTGGTTATCCAAGCCTCTGCCAATCACGTACCGGTATTTCTTCCGTTGTTCAACTTTTGTCTGGGACGCACGGTTTCTGATTGGTTGGTACGATCGGCCTACGGTTTGTAGTCCAGATACTGTGACGCGTACGCACATTGCTGACGTCATATGGGAAGCTTGATTCACTACAGTTGTCCGAAAACTGTAACGTGTTAATCCGTTGTGTGTGCATCATCTCGTAGGTCAGGATCACCACATGATCACCTCCAAAATAACGAATAATTTCAGCCTATGCAAAATAGAATTCTCTACCTAGACAGTTGAAATTTGTCCCGATTTAGATCTATAGTGCCAGAGGACATATTGAAATTGATATTTCTAACGTAGAACATCTAGTTGCACATCGGTTAACACATTGCGTAGCCAGAAATACAAGTATTGATCAAATTTGTGTAACACCTTGAATTTGATCACATTTTTCTCTCCCAATGATTAGGTTTTTGAGCTTCATTCGCGGGATTGAATATGCTATTTGTATTTGTATACACTTTCGCGAAAACAGAATGTTTGTATTTCAGTCAAAAATTAGACATCTCATCCATAGAAGGAAAGATACCAGTAAAATATTTAGCCTTTAGGGTTATTGAGAAATTCTGAAGAAACGCGCTCTCGGTTTACAAGGATTTTGGCAAGATAGGGAACTGGGAAATTTCTGTAGAGACTAATGCGAGAGGGTAATAATCGATAAGAAGAACGTGTAGACGTATGAGAGCAGCATTTAGATAAATCGCCATGTAAAGGATGATTGGGGTCAGCGAGGATTTTCCAGGCAAATGTTTCACATGCGGACAAGTGAAGTTCACACAGTTTTTTAGATAGCTCGTCAACGGGTATAAAAGATACACGACTGGTGATCGACAAACCTCGACAAAGAATTTCGAAGTCTTTCTTTAGTAGACCAGCAAAAACCACCGCGGAACAATAAAGAAGAACGGGAAAAACACATTGATAATCAAAAAGTAAAATGACTTTTGGCTTGGCATTGAACTGCCTAAGTCTTCGAAGTTGAAAAGATAATCTGCGAACTTTCAGTCAATATGGGATGTCCACTTTAAGTTAGTGTCAATTTTAACTCCCAGATACTTCACAAAATCAACTGCAGTCAGGGGATCTGTATTTATGACAGACGGATCACGAGGATAAACAGATCGAGAAAGGGAGAAAGTGCATTCGAAGCACTTGGATAAATTAAAAAACAGTCCGGAACGAACGGGAAATTCATGAATATGTGATAGATTATTTGAGAAATGTAAAAGATCCTCAGGCACAGAAATGGCTTGACACAGGGCTACGTCATCAACATATTTGAATAACTGGGCTGGAGAACTCGCAGACAGATCACTGATGTAGGTGGAAAACAAGAAGGGAGATAATACGGCACCCTGTGGTACTCTTGAATTGTTCACGAGTGGTCTAGACGTGTTCCTACTGAGCCGAGTCTGCTGAGTTCTGTTTGTGAAGTAGTCGACGAGTCACGCCAGTAGGTGTTTTGGACAGCCTAATAATTCCAGTTTACGAAGGAGGACGGAACGTGGAACAGAGTCAAAAGCTGATGAAAAATCTAAGAAAACATCTTAGAGATTTCGCAGATGTGTCTAAGGATTTGGTAACTTGATGAACGAGAGAGGTAATAGCATCCAAAGTGGACTTGTTTGATTTATAAGCGAATTGGAGATGGTCTTCGGGGGTACAGAAGGAAGCAGAGAGGCGTTTGAGAATGGCGCCAATTTAAGACCGCATGACATTAGAACAATGGGACGGAAACGTTTGGATTGGGTGCTGGAGCTGCACGGTTTTGGAATGGGAATGATCGTGACGGGTCTCCAGCAATCGGGAATCGAATATGAACTAAGTGACTGATTAAGGATACAAGTAAAAGTATCCGTTAGAGCCAGGGCACCATGCTTTAGAAGGGATGAAGATAAACCGTCAGGACCAATCAATACCAGTGGATGATTTAGCTGTACGAAGGAGTTCAAATATTTCTTCGCTCGAGAACGGGGTTATGTTAGCTGCGTCTTCCGGAATCCATGAAACAGGAGAATCGCTACTTGGATGCACAAATGCCTGATTTATACTCTCAACGTCCACGGTACATTCATTGGGTTTGGACTTCGCTCCACATAAGATCCGTATTCCTTTCCACTGATTTCTCCTGTTTTGACCGCATAAGAGTTGATTCCCATAGGCTGTATCGATATGTTTAATCTCCTTTTTTATCAAGGTAGAAATGTAGCTGACCATTGATGAATTCCGGGATTTATAGAAATGTTTCTTGTGTCTCCTAAACGTTTTGAGTTTCGGAGATGCAATAAGACCATCGGAGAGAAATAGGGTTTCCACCGGGCAACAGATTTCAAAGATGGAATTGATTGTATCAACAAAAAGATTACCATTGTTGTTCAATGAAGACTCAAGGGAAAACCATGAAACTGCATGGGATAGGGCTCTGAAGGAGAAAAATACATTCACATGACGTGTTTTGAAGACGGATCTTGATTTGGTTACTTTGCCTAAATGAATGGAAGGCAGAACAGAAATATATTTTAGGTCTAAGAAGAAGCAGACAATGATCACTGGTTGATACAGGTGCACGGAGACGGAGAGAGAAGAATTCGAGGTGATTTGTTATAATTCTGTCTAAAACGAAGTTACCTCTGGTCGGTGAAACACATAAATCTGTTAGATCATAAGCAGTGAGAGGCCGGGTTGAGGCATGGTTAAAATCAACTACAATAATATGCAGGTTGTCCTCAAGCAGTGGTACAAGAAAAGGTAAAAATTAGTGGAAGAATATCGAGATGGTATTTTGCGTACAAAACGGAGCAATATATAGGTTCGTTATGAAGGTACTTTTATGTCGGGAGAATTTAGGGTCGAACAGAAGAGATAAACAATCAATACCGTTACTTGAGTATGAGTAAACGGCATCTGACTTGCCACACCACGAAGTGTTGACGTAGGTAACCACACCACCACCGGATTTTTTGCCACATGATTCCCTGTCCTGCCGGTACAGGTTAAATCCGTCAATGCACACTAACGCGTCAGCAACATGAGGGTTCAGCCAAGATTCTTGTATACAAATCAGACAAGTATTAACGTGAATCCGGGAACGGAGAATAAATGATAGATCCGAGATTTTCGTGAACAATGAACGTATGTTCGTACTCAGTAGTGATGGGATGGACATTTTTGACGGAAGGGTGAAGTTAAGAGCAACTTGCCATCCGGCCAGGTTGGGCTTTTTATGTGAATTCCGAAATCCGAAAGAATTGAGTGTGGTTGAATCAAATCGTGATGTGAATCCGTTAGAGTGTTTGAGTAGAAGTAATTCCGATCTGGTATATCGACGAACAAAGGCCATAATAATGACAAAAATTCTTCAAATTTGATGAGATGTGATAACACGAGATTGTAGCACAGTCAGTCAAAGAGCGCCACACCAGGTGGAACATATCTATTCCATGATCCACTTGTGTTTCTGCTCCCTGAGTCAAATGCCAATAAAGTGTCCGATCCCTTGATTTTGACAACGGTTGCTGGTGCATCAATTGTAAAATAATGAAGCTTCAGTGAAACAAAATAATTAGAATTTATTTAGATAAATGACTCATAAGGTTGATGCAGGTGTTAGACTTTCATTTTGTCAATGCTCTATTTGGCCTTCTCCATTTTCGAGCACTAGTTACAGTCACTTATGCATGGTGTCCAACAAGTTGACTGGCCATCAGCATTCACCAATTTCCTTTAGTACATGTAACACCCTAGCCATTGAAGACAACTGTCGAGGCAGTTAACTTATCCCTGGTTCTGACACTAGAAAAGCTTACGATTTCGTTTAATCCCTAATTACTGGACGGTAACTGAATGAATTCGCCCTTGGATTTGATCCATGCACAAACTGTATAACTGCATATAATATTTAGGGCGATTAGTATCTTTTGTGCCAATGGACAAACTTAAATCGATATCTCCAAAATATGACGGACCTCAACACCTTTTCCCATCAAGCTTTAGTCAAAACCCAAAATGCTTTCGCCAGAAACCACATTCCTTTATCCAAAAACCGCAAGACTCAGCGCACAAACTTTAGTCACGCCGCGCTAGGTGACTCAGATCAAAAGTATCGAAATATTATGAAGTCACCGGATGTTGAAAAAAAAGTTATTTATTACAAATGTTGGTGTTCCAAAGCTTAGTTAAGAAATAGGGTGTGAGGATTGCATGCTTCAACACATGTTGATTGGAGAATGTTTAGTCGATGTGCTCGTATCGTCAAACCATTTGACGCATCTCGTACAAATTCCACCATAATTCCATTGTAGTATCAGGACACAAGTCGGATGGCGAACAATTGTGTTTTCGAATGATTCATAATCGTGCCTGTACAGATCGTATATAAGGGTTTGTTGTTCATGGGGACACAGTTTCTCGCTGGGTCGAAGGGACACTTGGGATGGGGTGACTACTAACAAACTAACCCTTATATACGATCTGTACAGGCACGATTATGAATCATTCGAAAACACAATTGTTCGCCTTCAGACTTGTGTTTTGACATCTCGTGCAGCTTCACTGTTTCTGTATAACATGCGACACTCCTAGGAATGAAAATCTCAAGTGTAACTGAAACGATACATTGTGTTGCATTCACAAGTGAACTCTGATCATCAGAATGGGATAAACGTGCTGAGAATAACAAAACGTTCGTAAAAGTACACCCTCATAACTATCATCATCTTATTAATGGTGCAACATATGTCATAATTACCACGGTAGAGGCTATATATATATATATGCAAGACGGTAAGCATATACCTTTTGATTTCAACCAAAAGGTACATGCTTACCGTTTCGTATATCCAATGTTCCTGAGATATGGAAACATTAGCCGATCGAAGAGAATAAACATTGTTCTCAAAAGACTCTCCTAAGAACACCGTTTCCCAAGAAGTAGCATGTAATCGTGACACCTACTGATCTCTTAACCAGCTTTGTAACGTCAACATCCGTTGAATTCAAAATATTCCGATACTTTTTGATCTGGCTCGCCTACAGCGGTGTGACTAAAGGTTGTGCCTCGAGGCTAAAGGACTACGGGTCTTTGCCGAAGCCTTACGGGTTTTGGCTAAAGCTTGATGGGAAAAGATGTGGTTGCAATTTGGCTGGCACATTGAGTAGCCAGAAATATAATAAGGCATTCGGTGGAATCGGATCGGGCGATTTTACTACCCACGGCACGGTAAAAAAACGTGAACGGTAATTAAACTAAGGTAAGCATACAGTTAGTTAACTTTCAGTGTAATTTCTTACCTGGCTCCACTGTAAAACTTGGACAATGGTGCTGGTACCGCTCGTTTAACTTTTCTCGACCACACAAACGCTTTTGGTTCTCTCGACCAAAGTGTGCTTATTGATCGTCTTTCTGAGTGTGGTCTAACCCTTGAAGTCTTGAATATACTAATCAACTACTTCTCCCGTAGGACTCAGTTTACTTCACTCAATGGTGTACAATCTTCTTCTATTAACATTGAGGCCGGTGTTTTTCAGGGTGCCATTTTGTCCCCTTTCTTGTTTTCCATGTATATACAAAATTTGCCCATCCCCACTAACTTTATTCCTTGTAAGTATGCTGATGATATTGTGATTGGTTGCCCAGCCCCTATTTCAAACCGTTTTCGACCTCTCCAGGACAGTGTTAATGAACTTCACGATTGGTCCGTGACCCGATCCCTTAAACTTAACGTCAGTTAGTGCATCGAAGTTCCATTTAGTCTTAAAACCGGTCCCCGTTATTTTTCACTAGTTGATAATCTTCCTGATCTTAAAATAAACAATCAAAGTATTCCCAAATCTGCATCTGTTAAATACCTTGGTGTCACCATTACCCATAACCTGTCCAGGTCTGCTCATGTCATCAACGTTTTTACTAAAGTTCGAAAACTGTCCTTCTATGCTTACAGGCTCAAGAAACTGGCCGTGCCGCATAATCTTATTATTAAATTTGTGATTGCCTGCATTCTTCCACACTGGCTATACTACTCCCCGATTTTTATCCTCGGACTGAAAGAAAAAGACTTCTGTTTATTTTCAAGATCCTTTAAACTTTTGTCCCACTACAGTGGAGTTGATAAAACTGTTTTAGTTGATTTGTTTATTTCCAAGCATCTTGACGCTTGTGATACATTCATTGACAGGATAACGCATGCTCAAGGGCACTGTCTGCACCAAGAAATCGCGAAAGCCCTGTCAATTCCCCAAATATCAACTCCTTCCTGCGCGGACTTCCACATATCGAAACAGTGTAATTCCTTACCTAGCTCGTTTACTAGTAAATCGTCAGCATATCCTCACCCACCTCAGGGAAGAACTCTTGCCCTAATTTTTCTCTCATTTAATAAAATGCAGAATTTTTTATACTGTATTTTTTGTTTACATTTATTTTATCTATCCACTGTAAAACTCGTAAACCGCTGAAAATTCACCTTTTGGATGCATAAAGCTTTTCTTGACTTGACTTAACTTCGTCTGGGACAAACCAGCGAGATGAAAGTGCGGTAAACTGGGTATCCAGAAAACAAGGCCTTCTGGTGTAAAGATAGTTTCGGATTCCGTCAATCAGAAAAAGCATTCAATTTTTAAAAACATGATGCATACATTTACGTGCAGTTGACAGTGACAACTTTACGTCAGCTTCGCAGCACTCTCCACAAGGATGCTTTATATAAATGAAACATTTAAATATTTCCAAACAAAATATATCGTTTCCGGGGCAACAGTTTCATTCCGATGATGCAGATTTACCGATTGCCGTATAGTCTGGCCTCTCTTGCACTCGGTTACCCCGTTCTTTTTATACAATACTCTGTGGTGTTTTATGTTGTGACATAGGCGAAATCGGACAAATTGGAGAAAGCCGCCCAGGAAGCAATCGATCCGGCAGTGATGCGTGCATTTGAAAATTCGATCAAAAATGTGAACGATCAGCTGGGTGAATGGGATCAGTCGGAGGTGACGAAAGTGGAACAGAAATTGGCCGAGTCCAAATCCGCGTTGAAACAACTGAACGGGGTGGTGTTGATCGAGTTGAAAGATGTCGAGATTCCGACCACTTTGCGAATGAAAGTGGTGGAACCAATGGAGCGTGAAGTAGACTCGATTGTACGCACATTGCGACCTAACAGCCGCCTGAACCGGACCATGGAAGCGTTGGAGGCTTATCAAACCATTGTGGACAACATGCAGGCAGCGGAAAATGCGACAGAAGAGGCCGAGGAAGCATTGAAAAAATCGACTGCAGGACAAGATCAGACGTGGCAATCCATGATGAATGAGGTGGCAGCCAAAGGTACAAAAATTGAAACCGTATTGGATCAAGAAGAGGAGCGGTTAGCTCAACGAAACGAGACTCTGAATGAGGCGTTACGAAAGTTGGACAAAGTCTCCATCGATCTCACAATGATTGGTAAAACTGCCGAAGAAAGTTTAACCTATTCAAAGGAAACCATTGATAAAGGTAGAACAATTATCTGATAGGCCAGGTTTTGTTCTATTTTATTGTACTGTCTTTTACTTGCCCAAGACTGATACAACTTGACGGTACGTTACCATTTTATTTACAATAGTATTGCATGAGTGTCTACTGGCTCTTTAGCTCTTTCGAGAGCTCGACCCCGTCAAGACTGAACGAGTAAACTGTCGGATTGGAAGCCAAACCTCCAACTCAGCATCACCAGAACCTTGACCATGGTGATTGCTGTTGTTCTTCCGGATAGAGATAGCACGTTGCGACTTACGGGGTAAGGCTGGGGTGGACAAAGCAACCGTATGCAATCAACTCAAATGGCGTAATAGTGACGTGAGGGATGCATGTTAATGTACCATACATATCCAAACGATAGATTACATTGGTTTGATATAAAACCTGTTTGTATCAGGATTATAAATGGTCCCAGTTTCAGTTTTTTACATCCATTAACCATGCACTTTCGTGCGCCGGTTTTGGTTGCTGTCTTTTGGTTGCCCATTTGGATAAAAGAACAAAATCTAGATTGGAATGTCGAAGAAAATTCAAGTGGAAGGTGGGGAATTCATATAGAGTGGTGTTAGGAGAATAACGAGTGGATGCACAAGCGCCACTGTTTGCCATACCCAGCCACATCACTCGGTGTAGCTAACTATCGGTGACCATCATCCCGAAGTCCCTAGCCAGGGAGCCTAACGGGGCCTATGTGACCTAGTCTCCTGGTTAGGGTTTTCACACTCTCATGCTGGGTCTTGGTTTGACCACCCTTGATCATTTTCCAATCGCTACCAGCCTTGGTAAACATCGTTCGCCGTGGCAACCTATCTGGTGACATGCGTAACACATATCCCAACCAGCGTAACCTATGGAGGTCGATCACTTGCTCTAGTGGACGACCACAACTGCCTAAAACTCTACGCCTAACCTCAGCATTGCTCGTTTGGCTGCTCCACCAGCTTCATGCAATGCTGCATAGACCGCGGTGTTCGAACACTGACAGTCTATCTTTATCTTGTTTTCCTAATGGCCAAGTCTCTGCACCGTAGATCAGGACTGGCCGAACTGCTGTAGTNCAGCCGGATGTTGCGACGGCGCCACAAATGTCTCAAGTTGGCAAATGCCAATCGAGCCTTTTGTATGCGCGCCGACACTTTATCTTTGATGCGTCCGCTGGGTGAGATATAGCTACCCAACTGGGTTACAGTGCTTGTTACGGCTTCGTGGCACATCAGTTCTGCTTGTTTTTTACGGGTGAAATGGCATATGTTACGAGGGTTGGGCAAAACGTTTCCAGATGCGCAAACTGTTTTATTTGTTACACGAAAATATTCATTGCCTTTTATCGAAGTATTCTCCTTAAGCGCTCATATACAGTTGCATGTGCTCAAATAA